AATTATCAGAAAGGGACATTAAGAAAACAGTTCTATGCACTATTGCTTCAAAAAGAATAAAATACCTAGAAATAAACCTAACCAAGGATGTAAAAGACTTGTATTCAGAAAATTATATGACACTGAAGAAAACTTGAAGATACAGATAGTGGGAGCACATACCATATTCATGGATAGGAAGAATTAACATCATTAAAATGTCCATACTACACAAAGCAGTCTATAGATTCAGTGCAATTCCTGTCAAGATACGAATGACATATATCACAGAACTAGAGCAGATATTTCAGAAACTTACATGGAACACAAAAGGCATCAGTGATTTTTGAAAAAGAACAAAATTGGAGGAATCATGCTACCTAATACCAAGCTATACTGTGAGGCTATGATAATACTACCAGTATTGTGCTGGCATAAAAACAGAGACATAGATCAGTAGAACAGATGAGAGACCCCAGAAATAAACCCACACTTTTATAGTCAATTACTATTTGACAGAGGAGGCAAGCACATCCAGTGGACTAAAGATAGTTTATTCAATAAACGATGTTGGGAAAATTGGGCAGTATGTGGAGAAAATGAAACTAGATCACTTTCTTACACCACACACGAATAAATTCAAAATGGATTAGACTTAAATGTTAGACCCAACACCATAAAAATTCTAGAAGAAAACAGGCAGTAAAATCTCAGACATTGCTCGTAGCAGTATTTTTTTCTGGTATCTCTCTTCAGGCCAGGACAACAAAAGAAAAAAAAAATGGGACTACATCCAACTAAAAACTTTTTGCACAGCAAAGGAAACCATCAACAAACTAAAAAGACAACCTACTGATTAGGAGAATATATTTGCTGATACATCTGATACAGGGCTAATATCCAAAATTTATAAAGAATTTTTAAAACTCAATACCCCCAAAACAGTCCAATTAAAAAATAGGCAAGGGCCTGAATAGACATTTTTCCAAATATACGTACAGATGGCTAATTGTCACATGAAAAGATGCTCAGCGTCTGTAATGGCAAATTAAAACCACAGGAAGCTATCACCTCACCTTGGTCAGACGGCTGTCATCAGTAAGTCAACAAACAAGTGCTAGTTAGGATGTGGAAAAAGAGGAACCCTTTTGCACTGTTGAGAATGCAGATTGGTGCAGCCATTGTGGAAAACAGTGTGGAGACGCCTTAAAAAATAAAAAATGGAACCTTATGACCCAGTGATTCCACTTCTGGGAATTTATCTGAAGAAACCCAAAACACTCATTCAAAAGAATATAAGCACATCTTTATTCCTTGCAGTCTTATTAAAATAGCTAAGATCTGGAAAGAGTCCAAGTGTCCATCAGTAGATGAGTGGATAAAACATCTGTGATACTTTTACACAGTGGAATACTACTCAGCTGTGAAAAAGAAAATTTTACCCTTTGCAACAGCATGTGTGTACTTGGAGAACATTATGTTAAATGAAATAAGCCAGTCAGAAAAAGACAAATGCCATGTGATTTCACTCATGTGTGGAATCTAGTGAACAAACTGAACTAACAAGCAAAATAAAGATAGACTCATACAGCTAGAAGGCTGACAGATGTGTGGGATGGTGGTTAGCGGATGGAAGGATTGAGCAAAAAAAGAAGGTACTCAAAAACATGGACAACAGTGTGGTGACTGTTGGGGGCAGAGAGGATGGGTGGAGGTGAAAGAGTATGGGGGGATAAGTGGTAATGGAAAAAATATAATAAAAAAATAACCTGAAAATTCATTGCCAACTCTGGGGTCACATTTTTTTCTTTTTTAAATTGGAGTATTTTCTCTATTCTTGTAATAATCCAAGAAAAGTTAATATTCACCCATTTCTGACTTAAGAAAGACTTCATGGCACAAGTCTTCCTAAAATACCTTATGGAAATGTTACTTTTATTGCAATATGCTTATTTCCCCAAATACTACTTTTGGCCGTTTTCTCATTTTTGTTTTAGATTTACATCTTCGTTTTTAATTTCCTTTACCAGTTTATAGCTGATTGCATTCTCTGCTGCTTTTTAGTTATCCGATTATTCTCTGTGTCCTTTCTGCTGTTCTATTTATGCTATTTCTTATAGCCAGAATAGTTTATAATATTAATCACTATATTTTCTTTTACTTTGTTAGGCCCAAATATATGCCTTATATTTCTTTTTAGTTTAGAAAACAGGGATCATGCATTAAGAAAAAACTCTTAAGGGTTCTCTAATGGCCTATGATGTCTTGTTAAGTATACAATTTACAGAATTGTTTGGTGGAGTAATTTCTTTTATTAAAATTGTTCTTAATGTTTTTGTTTTGCTCATTAAGTTTAACTGATTGCTTTAGCAGAGGCCTGTTTAGGGATTAGTTTTAAACAAGTACTTTTAAAACTCCTTGTAGGACAGTGCTTAAGTTGTGTTATTTTTAAATTCGTTAACATTTACATGTGAGGCTGAATTAACATTTTGTTCATGGTATTAGAATTGCTAAGTGGGTTATACATATATATATATTGGACTTAATTATAAACTTATTAATTATGGCGACATTTACTATATTTTCAGGTTTTGTTTACTTGTTTACTTTTCTGATATACTTAGTAAGGACACCATACTGAGAGACACAGTTGATTAAAGCAGATGTCCTGGGGGAGGAAGATAACATTTACTGAGCTGTATAATTTGTCGTGGGAAAGAAAATGAGAAAAACTGGCAGACTGAAAGGAGGAGGCTATTAGATTTTAAAATAGCATGATTGAAAGTTCTGAACTTGATTTGCAGGAAGAGGAGTTAGAGATGTAAGCAGTTTTATGCCTGTATATCTGTTCTTGTTGAAACGTGAGGAAGAAGCCTACATGGATATTTTTAAAACTGCAAAGAAAAGCAGTCGGTTGGTATGGGGCATTAGCTATACAAAAACTTTAAATGTACTGGTGGTTAGGTACTTAGTAGTTGTGTGTGTGTGTGTGTGTGAGAGAGAGAGAGAGAGAGAGAGAGAGAGAGAAGGAAAGAGAGAAAGAGAGATGACTGTGGATGCAGGAGTGTGGTGAGGAATATAGAATACATTTCTATTAGTAGTTGAATGAGTAACATTCTGACCAAAATACTTGAGAGGATACCAGGATGAACAGTGTTCAAGCTAATACCTAAAGAGAAGAATCCACAAATTTGGGGAATAGAGGAAGAAACAAGCCAAAATTAAAATAAAAGCATTTGTTTTACTACAGCTTATGTTTTAAGTAAAAATAGGCAGCATAAATTATTCCTACATTTGCTGGTAATTTTTACTTAAATCTGTGTTTTTAGAATTACCCCATAATTATTTTAATTTTTTGACTCCATAGTGTATAATAAGGCTTTTATTTTCATTTTTATTTTATCTAACTTTTCGTAGATCTTGGATTATAACACATAATTCCTGCTATGTGATTTTCTAGAAGCTTATAATAGTATTAGTCTCTCTCAGGAGCTTCCCAGTTTTCATTCCCCATCCTTCACCCCAGTATTACCTAGAAATCTATCTCAGCTCCTGTTCTGTTACTACATTGTGCCCATAATTGTTCCTATTATTGTTTTTGTCATCTGCCTTGATACCTAAACAATTTTTTTTATATAGATGTCTTTTGACTACTCTGTTCTAATTCTGAGTGCCTTTAACTAAAACTTAAGGTACGATGTTTCATGATGACTGTGGTTAAACTGCCTTCTTTATCTTTTTTCACTAACATCTCCTTCATATCTAACTTCTGGTCACTGGAGAAGGTGTAGTCATAAAGCCTGGCAGTGAAAGAGATGGAACATGGTTTGGTCTTTAACCCATTGTTGCTCCTCACCCATAGTCCCTCTTTGACTAGCATAAAATCACACAGTTTTACTTATTCTTCATAATTTTCTCTCATCTATTCCTATGGATAAATGACCAGTTGCTACTTTAACATTCTACAGATTCCTTTACTTGTTTCACTGTCTTCAAAGGTATTTCTTAAGTTATTTTACTATTTCCTGAGAAGAAGAAAAATCATTGAGGATAAATATTTCAGTGTGGAATTTTGGAAAGTTGTAGTGAAAAACTTGTGAGGGTAAAAGGATTAAAGCACATAGTGACTAATGTCCTGGTAATGCATGAAAATAAAGGCTGGACATTTGGAAGGTTAGAATTTCTATTCACTGTGTGGGAAAAGACATGTGGATTTGCCAGGGCTGGGGTTGGGTAGAGACAGGAAGTGGATTTTGATATGGTAAATTTTAGGTATCTATTAACCATGTGGATTTGGTTGTTGTGTGTGTGTAGTCATTTTTAATCTAGAAGAACCTTTTTCATTTTTTATGAAATTGGTTTTTTTAAGCATTCAGGTCTGCTGCCTAAGAGAATGTTTCACATTCTGGATTTGTTTGTATCCTAATAAGTAAGGTTAAACATTTTTTTTTTGACAAGCGCACAACATAGGTGACATTGTTAACATCTCAGTACATCCTGTTAGGAGGCATATATCATCAGGTTGTCTGTTGTACTGTTGGTGTTGCTAAGTTTGACCACTTGGTTAAGCTCATGACTTACAGATCTTTTCATTGTAAAGGTATATTTCCCCATTTATAATTAGCAAATAATCTGTGGGGAAATATATTAGGGCTCCCAACAACTTTTAACATTTGTTTTTGTTCTCTTTACCCACTCAGTACCATAAACTTGAAACAGTTCTTTCATTTTAACATTTTACAAAAGTTGTTTTCTCCATTGCCAGAAGTTTAAAAGGGTATTCTGTCATAATATAAGTAAAGGGCAGAAATGAAATTGAGACAATGTGGGAATGAAGTAGGAGAGGCTATGCTAAAGCGTACCTATGTTTGGAGGGTGTTACTGACGCAGTGTGATATATAAAATTGTACTCTGTTGCTTAGAGCCATAAAGTTATGCTTTAAAAATGCGAGCAATGTTGTATTCATAATTTTTTTCAAGCAATTCTGGCCAAAGTTAATGAATTCTATTTTTTTTAATAGGTTTAAATGTAATACTGGATATTTATTTCTCCTTTAAGGTAAGTTTTATTTTTATTTTTTGAAACAATGTTAGGTTAAATTTATTATTCCAGTTGGTCTAGAAAGTAAATTTTAATTACCCAAGTTACATCATTAATTTATCACTGGGCTTATGGGTTTATCTGTTACAGAGAATAATTGTCCTTAGGGGAAAGATTGTTGGTTACTGCACATACAGCATGCAGTAGTATCATGCCCAGTACTTGGGTGCTGATAAACATTTTTGATATACTGAATATTCAGAATTGCTTAGGTTTCCCGTAGGGTCCTTGAGCAGCATTGGGTTGAGTGTTTAAGTTTCCTAGGTCTGCTATAACAAAGTGCCACAAACTGGGTAGCTTAAAATAACAAAAACATTCTTTCACTTTTCTGGAGGCTAGCTGTCCAAAGGCATCAGTAGGTCTGTGCTCCGTCCGAAGGCTGTCTGGGAAGATCCGTCCTTGCCTCTTCCTAGGTTCTGGTTGTGCCAGCATCCTTAGCATTTGGGCTTATAGCTGAATCGCTCCAATTTCTGCCTCTATTCTTGGGCTTTTTTCCTGTGTCTCCTCTCCTTGTTTTCAGATCTCCCTCTCCTTATATACCAGTCATTGGATTTTGGGGCTCGTCCTAATCAATTATAACTTCACCGTAAATGAATTATGTCTGCACAGACGCTATTTCCAAATAAGGTCTCTGTAGGTTCTTAGGGCTTCACCATACTTTTCTGGGGGAACACACTTCAACTCACAGTGGTTGGAGCTTGACATTGAGTTGTAGTGATGTTGAGATGCTATGATCATTTTGAAGCTTGAATGCTGTATTCTATGAGGTACAAAATATTCTGGAGTTGGTATAGAAATTAAAGTGAAAACTATACTTAAGTCAATTTAGGACTGTTTTTAATAGACTTTGAATGTGAGGGTGTATGGATGTGGATATTTAACATTTACAAATATAAATACTGGTTATTTATTGGCATTTGTGGGATTCAACCTAACAAGAATTGTGGCCCTCCTGAGGTAGACATAATAGGGAATCAAAATAAACTCTTTATCAGTGTATTTTGTCTAACAATAACAATGCTGTATTTTTTATATTAAGAAATGAAACATGTAATTGGATAACTTTCTTTAAAGCTCACTAATGCCCTTGATCATTTTTTAAAATAAAGAGTACAGGGTCAATGAAATTCAGCTCCAACTTCAAAGATGATCTTAGGTAAGGCATGCTGTGAATTTAGGTCAGTGCCTGGCCCTTGGGAAGTGCCTAATACACATTAGCTGTTATTATTAGCGAGCCATTCTAAGAAAGTGAAGACATTGAGGTAGTCATGAAAAGAAGGAAAGTTTATCTCACTTAGTGTATTTACTGTTACAGTTATTGGTTTGGTAATGGATATAAATAACTGAAAAATGTAAATTACAGTATTACGAGTTTTTTAATGTGAGACAATAGAAAAACATTAGACAACATGTTTATTTTTGAATTTGAGGTTTGAAGGTCATGTTCTTTAAATGGCTTATATTATGTGATGCTTGTGAGAAAATGTTAAAAATCCAGACTACATTTAACTTACTTCTTCTCTTCTTCCATTTAAATAAAAATAGCTATATTAATCCAACACGCCATAATGTGGCATGCCATCCTTTTTGAGAGGTGAATATTATTGAATAAAAATGGCTGACAGAAGTAGCAAGATTGTTCCAGGACAAGTTTATATTGAAGTGGAATATGATTATGAATATGAAGCAAAGGACAGGAAGATTGTGATAAAACAAGGAGAACGATACATCTTGGTGAAAAAGACCAATGATGACTGGTGGCAGGTCAAACCAGATGAGAATTCCAAAACGTTTTATGTGCCAGCCCAGTATGTAAAGGAAGTCACCCGCAAAGCTTTGATGCCGCCTGTGAAACAGGCAGTTGCACTGCCAAATAATTCTGCGAAAATGGCACAGAGTCTGCATCTTCAGAGATCAACAGAAAATGTGAACAAATTGCCTGAGCTTTCAAGTTTTGGAAAGCCATCATCATCTGTTCATGGAACAAGTCTTATTCGTGATGCCAATCAGAATTTTGGACCCAATTACAACCCAAGTCAAACTGTCAATCTAAGCCTGGATCTGACCCACAATAATGGGAAGTTTAGCACTGACTCACATTCTCCTAAAGTTTCTGGCCAAAATAGAACATGCTTATTTGGTCACTTTCCTGGTCCAGAGTTCTTGGACATAGAGAAAACTAGCTTCTCCCAGGAGCAGTCTTGCGATTCAGCAGGAGAAGGCTCAGAAAGGGTACATCAGGATTCTGAGTCTGGTGATGAACTTAGCAGCAGCTCCACGGAACAGATAAGGGTAAGATTGAAGGAACGAAATGTTTGTACTTTTATAAAAATATTAATTACAGGTTTTACTTTAAAAAGTTTTTTGTAAGAGAATCATTTGTTTTGCTTTATTCAGAATGTATGGTTTCTATCCTGAATTAAATAGAGAATATGTGAAATAACTTGTGGAGTTCACTATATGGTTTAGAATTACTGTGTGGGCAAAAATTTTCCTCTCTATTGGTTATGTGTGATGTAGAAAGGACTTACTTAATTTACCTAGTGATATTTTTTTTATTAGAAAAAGTTTGTTTTCCAGGAGTACTCATTTTGACTGGTTTCCAGTAAGTCTCCAGGGAACAGTAGATATATGGGGAAAGACATCATGGGACTCTTAACCACTAACTCATGTTCTTTGAAACTTATTAACCTCGGTTAGTAAGAAAAAGAGTTCACAAACCTTTACCTCCATTCATGCACTTCTGTGTCTGAAGTGTCTTAAATATCCATGCTTACTTGCATTGCACGGAAAAAATTTTATGTGTCTGTGGTTTGGTTTTCTTAATTTTTCATAATCTGACTTTGAGGTTAGTTTATGCCAGTTTATTGGTCAGGTGAAGCGAAGTAATTTGAAAAGCTCATGTATGAAATTGAAACTTAAATGTATTTGGCAAAGTCTAATTTTAACTGCACTTTAAAAGTGATACATTTATGGCCTAAAACTATGTTGTAAAATTTAACGATCAAGAGAATAAATTGTATGGCTGCTGTTTGGTGTGGTCTGATTATAATAGAACTAGTACGTTATTTTTCTAGATTTTAATTTTTCTTGTGACATTTTAAATGGAAATAGGAAAAGGGAACCTTTTCTAGAAAAACTTCAGATGTTTGTAATTGATGTAAAGGAGCATACTCAGTTTATCATTCATCTTGGTAAACTTTTTTTTCTTTAGTGTTTGTGTGATACTTTGACATAGAATATATAGTGTTACTTGGAGTTGTTTTTATACGTGGCTCCTTTTTGAGCTAGTGGGATTTGGGAAGGATGTGCCTTTTCTCTTCCATCTTGCCATCACCGCTGTTTCACATTTCAAATTACATTTTTTATTTAGGTACACAGGCCGGCCTGTGTTCTCTTTATTATGGTCATCTTAATTTTTTGGCATGCAAGTTCATGGCTCTTAACCTCTCCTTGGACCTTGACACTGTTTGGAAATTCTGTTAGATTTCACTAGCCAGTCCTTTTTCATACTCGTCATGGCAACTGTTCAAACCTTTTCCATTATCTTTAGTTCTCTGATTCACCTGTTTTTCCCTGTTCTCTTATCAGGTAACCTTTCCTTTTCTTTCACAGCAAAAATAAAAGCCATGGGATAGAACCTTCATCAGCTTTGGGGAGGATGTTAATAGCACTTAATGGCACTTAACAGCAGTTAATAGCACTGGGTTTTGATTTGAATCTGGAGTTCATAAAGGTTTACTTTATGATTTTCATAATTCCATCACTTACCATCTCTGTGATAATTGGGGAAAATTACTGAACTTCTGTGTGTCTCAGTTTTCTTATCTTAAATTGCACATCAGGAGGTGGTTGAGGATTAAGTGGATTACTATATCTAATATGCTTAGAATTATACTTGGCATATTAGTACATTAGGTACCTATTGCTGCTTAATAAATTAGTCCGAAATTTGGTGGCTTAACACAGTAAACATTGATTATCTCACTGTTTCTGTGGGTCTGTAATTTAGAAGCAGCTTAGAGGGGTAGTTTTAAAGATTTAGGGTCTCATGAGTTTGTAATCTTATGAAGGCTTGGCTGGAGATGCTTTTAAGATGGCAAACTCACATGGTGCTAGTTTGGCCTCTTCACATATGGTTGAATGTTGTGCATTAGAGAAGCAATGCATTAGAGAACAAGGTGCATTAGAGAAGCAATGCTTTATTGAACAAGGTAGAAGCCATATGGTCTTTTTTGCCCGAATCTTGGAGGTCTCACACAGTCCTATCTTACTAAGTATACAGTTCACCCCTGTTCTCTGTGAGAGGAGACTACACTGGGAGTAAACATCAGGAAATGAGAACATTGAGGCCACCTTGGGGGCTGGCTATTAAAGTAATCATTACTTCTAGCTATTATTACTGTTGTTTCTATCATCCTTGCCACCATCTAATCTGTGAGTACCCCTGTGTCAGCAATCATTACTCCCAACGCAGCGTGAGTGTTGTCTCACCTATCAGAGGGCAGTCTCTTTATATTTGCTTTTCCCTTTCTTCCACAAACCTTTTGGTAAAGATTATATAGCATTGTGTTCGTGTGGCTTTAGATTCATTATTTACCAAGTGCTTTCCATCAGTATTTAAATTTGCTTATGTTTTTCCCATTTTAGTAACACTTTTCAGGAATACCTTTCTCTCTGAATATTACTTATTACCCTTTCCCTTTGCTGCCAGCTTATGGAAAGAGTTATATAGGTTTGCTTCTCTGCATTTGCTCATTTCCCACTCATTCCTTAACTTACTCTAGTATGTCTTTTTACTCCACCATGCCACCTAAGTGGCTTGCAAAACTATGATATCACACTCAGGATATTGACCTTGGTACAGTAGAAATACTGAGCATTTCCAACACCACAAGCATCCTTTGTGGTTTCCTCCTACCCCCTTTTGAACCCCAGCTCATCACTAATATACTCTCCATTTAAAACTTTATTTCAAGAATATTATATAAATGTAATGATATGCTATATAATCTTTTGAGATTGGCCTTTTCATTCAGCATAATTCTCTGGAGATTGATCCAGGTTGTTGTGTGTATCAGTGTTCTTTTTGTTGGTGGCTGACTCGTATTCTGTGGTGTGCAAAGTATGGTGTGCCGTACTTTGTTTCACCATTCACCCATCGAGGAACATCTCTCTGGGTTTCCAGTTTTGAGCTATTGCAAGCAAAGCTGCTATATATAAACTTTTTCTTTCTCTGGCATAAATGCCCTTGAGTATAATTGCTGATGGTAGGTAGTTGCATGTTTATTTTTTCAAGACACAGGCAAACTTTCCAAATAGTCTTTGTAAAGAAGTCATTATATATAGTCAATACCTAAGAAGTACGTGTTATATCCCACCTCACTGAAGGTGTAGTTTCTACATGAATTATTTGGAATGATTTTGTATGGGAGATTTATTTTATTTATTTATTCAGTCTTTTATGTCTGTATGAACTCATAAGTATTTTTTTATACTTTGGATTATAATCCAGTATTATTCTATTTTGCTGCTCAAGTATTTCAGCTTTGGCAGTTAAGAACTTTTGTTGTCTGTTTTTTAGCACTGCCCTACTTTCTGTCTCTACAAGATACTCCATGGACATCTTGTATATTTTCTGCCCCAGTCTAGAGTCAGCCGTTTCTCCAAGGGCTCTTGTTTTCCTTAATTGGGGAATGGTATGAGAAGCCAGGATCTGTGCTAGTGTACTTATTGCTACTGCATTGTGATTCCTTCAAACAAGCAATCACAGTGTAGTACCAATTGTGATTGCTATGCTCGGGTGGTAGAGCAGGGCAGTACACATTGGTATGCTAACCTGTGTATATACATGTATCTATAAATATTTTCACATGTAAGTCTCTGTATCTGTGTTAAACTAAATGGGTTCATATTGATATCTTCAATTCTAATCTCTAACCACATAGATCATTGCTTATTTATAAACTTTCACTCCAAAATTGAAAGATGTAGCTGCCACCATCCACTGTCATTTGCATTATTGGGTAATTTAGTATGAGAAATGTTAACTTGTGCCCTTGTGGAGTACATCTTTATCAGCTAGAATATAGTATTTCATGTGCATATTTTTTTTTACTTCATTCATTTTCAGAGTTTCTTTGATTAGCACTTTTTATCCCCACCTGATTTAATGAGGTTGTTTCATGTATTTGTAATAAAGTTAGGTTGGGTTTTTTTTTCCCCCTGTCATATTCTACATTCTTTTCTGGGATTCCTACCCCACCTGAAATTTCTACATTAAAAAAATTGCATACATTGGGATTTGTTCTTTTTGCTGTAAAGTTCGGTGGATTTTGACAAATGCACAGTATTGTGTTTGTACAGTTCCAGTATCATACAAAATAGTTTCACTGCACTAATCTCCTGTGTTTCACCTGTTCACCCTCCGTCCCCTTCTCCTGTCCAGTCCTCTGCAACTGCTCATCCTTTTACTCACTGTGTAGTTTTGCCTTTTCCGGAATACCTTTTAATTGGAATCATATAGTAGGTATATTTTTTAGATCAACTTCTTTTACTTAGCAATATGTGTTTAAGATGCATCCATACCTTTTCATGTTTGATAACATTTCTTTTATTGATGAGTAACCCATTGTAGTGATGTACCACAATTTGTTTATTCATCTATTGAGGGACATCTTGGTTGCTTCCAGCTTTTGGCAATTATGAATAAAATTGCTATAAATATTTGCATGCAGGCTTTTGTGTAGACATAAACTTCAGATCAGTTGGGTAAATACCTAAGATTACTTGGGTAATACCTTGGGTAAATACCTGAGATTGCTGATCAGTATGATAAGGCTACTTTTGTAACAAACTGCAAAACTGTCTTTCAGAGTGGCTATACCATTTTGTGTTCCCATCAACAGTGAATGAGAGTTTATCTTTTTCCACATCTTCATCATTTGGTACTGTCAATTTTTTGGATTTTTAGCCATTCTAATAATATGTAGTATCTTGTTTTAATTTGCATTCCTAAGTGACAAATGATATTGAGCATCTTTTTATATGCCTATTTTTAGTCTTTGTATCTTCTTCGATGAGGTATCTAGATCTTTTGCTCATTTTTAAATTATTTTTTAATTAAATTTTAAGAGTTCCTTGTATGTTTTAGATACATATCCTTTATTAGTTATATATTTTACAAATACTTTATATCTGTTGTGTTTTTGTTCTCTTAACAGTGACTTTCACAGAGCTGAAGTTTTTAATTTTAACGAAGTTCAAAACTTAATTATTTTTCTTATGGACCA